TGAAATACTTCAAGTCACCCACTGTCCCTCTTCACCAGTCCAAACCAACCTGCTAATGTGAAAAAGTTACCATCCTCAAACTAGAGAACTGTCCAGATACAAACTCCAAGGTTAAGGGCTAGCAGGTACTTTGCTGAGACATAGCCATAGTTACACAAATAAAAAAGAAGGAGCATTTGGCCAACAGCAAAGTCAATTATTCATTTAAATGAGGTGTACATTTTCAGAACGTGAATGGGCATCGACAATGCAAAAACTGCACCAACTTGCCAGTTTCTCTGCTCCAAATAGGCAAACTGGCTACACTCATAAAACCAATTTCCTACCAAGGAGAGGAACAGAGTGAGGTCCTAGAAATGTCTGAAGGCACAATCCATGCCACATGGAAGCTTCCCCTGTGACATCCCACCCGTAGGTGACCCTGGGGTAACAGGCAGAGGTTCTGCATGCTGGCAACAACAGCCCCAGCACTAGGTATGGAACACACATCAAAGTCATAATCTTCCCTGTTTATCCACACTGTCTGGAGCTGCCTTGCTGGCATAGATCTCATCTGTTAGGACTATCATCAAGGGGGTTTTGTACCACACTGTAATAAAAACAAAAAATCCCACCAAAACCACCACAAAATTAAGCCAAGTTGGGTACATATCACAAGAGGAAACTTAGAAAGCTGACTCTGGAGTTATGGTTTAAAACACCAAGGAGCCTTTATTTGTTGTTTTTTAAATCCAGTTATTTATTTAGCCAACAGAATTCACCTTGGGCTATACTCACAAGAAAACACCACTATCTTTAATTTTTCATGTATATCATTATGTGAGCAGAACAGGAAACAACTGACTTCAGGAGGCAACTGCATGAGATTTGTACCTAAACCATGGGGCACTCCAAATCCATCATGATGGAGGGATTTTGTGCATTTTTGAGAGTGTGATTTTTTTTTTTATTTCAGGTAACTATGTATGAATAATAACATTTCTTTCTAAAAGTATAGCGATGTTGACTTTGCAGTCAGCAGAACCACCAAAAGATTGAGCAATCTAAGCCACATGGGAAAGCTAAAATTTTCCCAAAATATTTCCTTTAAAACCATCTGCTAACAGATATTTTAAAAAAAAATTGAAGAAAGAATATAAGCATTTTAAGAGGTATGAAAAAGACCAGAAACATGCAGAAAATAATACAGAAGCACTGCAAAGAATTTCTGAGGAGAAAATCAGTAATTTCAGCAACCCAGCTGGACACTCATAACGAAGATGACTAATGCCACTAGTAACTCAAAGGGACACGCAAATTTAATCCCATATTATAATGCATGGCTAAAAAGGTTGCATTTGAAGATGGGTCAGGAGTGGAGCCATAAATCTGTGTTACAGGGGAGGCCACTTGCTCTTTGTCTCAGGCATTTCCCAGAAAATGGCTTTGTGAGCTCCTGGAACGGTGGGTGAATGCTGCCTCCACCCTACCACCACAGCACGAGGATAGGGAGCTGCCTGCCCCAACATCACAGCCACTCACAGCCCCCCACCAGTGACCTCCTTTTCAGGAAGCCTGAAAGATGATGGAAATGGGGGGGTGGGATTCAAAGGAGACACCAACTCTCCCAGTGCCCCCCATGCTAGAGAGGGCCTGAGCCCATCATCCTTCATGTGCCGTCTTCTGACCCCCTGACCTCCACACCAGTGACACCACAGTCACCAGAGGAACTGGCTAAAAGAAGATGAACTACAAGAAAACATGCAATTTCAACCTGGTTTAAAATCACAGCACTGGCTATGGCCTCACAGCTAAGCAACGCTTACCTGTCCCACCACACTCCAGTCCATGGATCTCCTGCCACTTGCCAGCCCCCAAGGGGTCCTACCAGGATGCACAGGTCCATTTTCAAAGCGATAAAAACTTGGAAAACTAAACTACTGCTATTGCAAATGGCTATCTTAATGCAGATTTTGTCACACTGCAAAAGACTAGCCAAGTTCCAAGAACTTAATGCAGTCTCCAAAACGTTGACTTTGGAAGGTGCTCTTCAGATCAGTGACTCACCTTGGAAAAATATCTGAATGGAAACTCTACTTCTATGCTTTTATTACATTAATGAACAGCAAGAAAACCCAATACCGGTAGTACAGCACACACAAAGCACTCATTTGAGTGCCAAGAGTCTCACAGGGCCTAAAATTGGAAGGTAATCACTTTGCTACGGTGCCTATTTGGGGCAACAAGAAGCTTTGCATGGAAGATGAAACCCGTTTTCTGCAGACGAATAACTTTAAGGACCAGTGCATGGACCCTTAAAGCTCCCTACAAAAACACATTGAGGCAGGCAGTTAATTTGGTAACAAAATATATTTTGAAGGCTACAATGAAGTATTAAGTATACACATGTTTTAAGACAAAAGGTTACTTAAGTGTTAGACAATTACAAGGTACCGAGAGGTGCTTCAAGGTTTCATTCTCCTATATATATAAAAAAAATCACTTTGAATTCTAATCCAAAATTCATCTTCTCTTATAAACAAGACAGGTTATATCTCCGATTTCTATGCAAGCAATCTATGATACCCAAAAGGAAAAAAATAAAAATAGCTAACAGCCAAGCAGAGCTTTTATCACCTATTTTTAATCTGCTAGTTCCAAATCAAATGCATTCAGTACAGAATTCTGATTAAGAAAAAAATGGCTGTTGAATTTTTATTACTACATCCCTTAAGGACCAAAAGCGGTAACCTTAGGCACTTAATGTGTTCTATGAATAACAATACATATGAGCACATAAAAAGCTTGTTATCTCTGTTTATGGAATTTTTTTACCATATTGATACATTTACGGAAAGAAGTTGGGAAGTGCAGTGAGGGGGAGGAGAGGAAGCTATCAAAATAACAAATACCATTAAATAAAACCTATTTGGAGAAGAACAAGCTACACAGTATGAAATTTGAATGAACCATGTCTCCTCATTACAGTCCTGCAGCTCCCATGTAGTCAGCGGACCCTCATTCAATGCTCATACTAAAAGCCTTCACTTATATGCACCTCTCCCATTGATACAAATGCAATTCATATTTAACCCTGACAATCACTTGTTATATGAGTTTTCTGTGTGCATAGATTTTCTTATTTTATAAACAACATAAACGAAGAGAAGTCCTTCATGATGGTTCAAAACAGCTCACTGGAGGCACAGAAGAATCTTCTCCCCCTGTCCCCTCACATCAGAGTCCATAACCACCTGGCTTGATAACCGAAGGGTTGCCACCATACACCACCCTCTCACAGGACAACTTTCTGCACTGTGTTATAACACAGTTCCATCTCCATAGCTAGAAAAAAAATCCATATGAACTGCAGCTAAGCAACAGAGGGCTTTCTCCTTCAGAAGTCAGCTTGCAACCTCTCCAAAAAATGTGGGACAGCCATCAGAATGAAAATTTACAAACCAGCCATTTGTGGCGCTGGCATGGTTTCCTTCTGGTATTTAGATCAGTCCAAGAAATAAATTTTTAAAATAGTTCCTCCAATAGAATCCTTCCCATATTTTCAGCTCTGAGAATTCACAGGGACTAAATTCAAGTTACACTGGCTCTGGAGCCAGCAGCTTGTTAGAGTACAAAAAGCACCCTAGAAAATAATGGAGGGAGGGTTGAGGCAAGTCCATGCTTCTCTCAGCTCTCAAACTTGCCTGCAAAAAGAAAAGGAGCATATGGCCAGAGTGAACTAGGTTTCTGCTCTACTCATTGCAATAACTGTAACCTCCTCCAATTTATGTTATTTGGATTTTAAAGCTCAACAGGGGGCCAAACATGTGAATTAGTTTTTGTTCTTCTATTTAGCATGGAAGAAGTAATGAAGACTTAGGGTCTGCTGTCAAATATTTTGGACCTTTACAAAGTCCTTTGCTGTCTTCCCCCACTGAGACCTGCCTAGGTTTCCATAGGTTGGTGCCTTGAGAAACCAGATGAAAGAGCAAGTAGGATAGTTCACTCTCCTTTGCTCATGGTTGCAGGATTCTGTCTCCAATTGTTTATTTCTTCTTCCTTTTCTGGGCTCAAGGAAGATGATAAGCAGACAAATACTCTGAGGGCTGCCAAATGTTAAGTAACTAAAAGAGTGGGCCATGCCCTTGGAGAAGACCAGGACACACGGGAGCCTGACACATAGTTCAGAGTAAAATAATTTGCAGGAGAGCATCCCACCAGCACAGCTGTGTTGCTGGAGCCCAAACCAGAGCTCAGCTGTGTTATTTACCCTACAAGGTCCCAGCTGTCAACCTGGCCTGGCATCACGACAGCCTACGGCACAAATGCCCTTAGCCAGCTGCTTGGCTTAATGTACAATTCTCTCTTTTTTAATGAGATTAGCGCTGGTGAAATGTGCTAGCTCAACGGACATTCCGGTCTAAGTCCTCTGTTTTTTCAGGCTACAGCAGACACAGCAATCACTTTTAAAAGAAGACACAATTTTAAAAGACACCATAAATTCGCCAGGGCTTCTGCAATTGCTCATTCATCACAGGAAGAAGAGGGGCTTCTTATAGATCCACTGAGAACTGAGGACTGGAAAGGATGAGTCTTGAAATTGTGGTAAGTGTATAAACTTAGCAACCTACCTCCTCGAGACTAGCGTGAAGGATCTACTTGCCAACAAAAAAAACCAACAGATGATTCTGGCTTTTTATCCATTTCAGTCATCAAATATATCCGCTGCGGCTACCGCCAAAATTGTTAAAAAGCAAGGGGGAGGGGGTGTACGTTAAATACCGGGGAGCAGAGGGGGGTCAATAACACAGAGGTACTGCTGTAAATATGGATTAGCAAAATGCATTTTGGTTATGCTTTAAAAAAAACCCAGTTAAAGTTGAAACAGCTGAAGTAATGTGTTCACTATAACGCTGTCAAACGTTATTGCCATGAATAAGCAATTTTGTTTAGAATGCATTTTTAAGCAGAATGATGAAAATTTGAGTCACCCTGTTTCACAGGCACTATTCACAGCACAAAGCTACTAAACCGATAAAGCACAATCAGCTCCCCTTGCTAGGAAGTGACAAATGCGCCTTAGGGCACAGTATCGATGATGTGCGGATCACGGTCTCTAACGGCGCACAGCGGGGCCATTATCGTGTGTTGTCACCGCGTGCCATTAAAAGGACTTTAATCTGCCGATCGCCGCCGCGATACGCGGCTCCTGCCAGGGATCTACTGACTAACAGGCCGGGACGCTGCGAAACCCCCCATCCCCCGGGGTCGCCTGAAAAACACGGCCCGGCTCCCCCGTCAGTCAATCGCGGCAACTCAATTAATGCATCTGGGTCAGGAAAATGGTTTGCGGGAGCCTGAGCCCGGTTACGAAACGCAGATACCGCGGCGGGTACCGCGGGCGGCGGCGGAGGGCAGCACCCGCTGAGCCCAGGTGAGCACCGGGGAGGGACCGGGGGGCACCGAGGTGGCACCTCCGGGCCCCGCGGCGGGACGGGGATGCGGCAGCAGCGGGGACACGGGCGGGGGCCGCCTCGCAGTCCCCCCACCCCGGTCCGGCCGGCCAAGAGAGGCAGCGGGGAGGGGGGCAGCCAAGGCGGCTGTCGGGGAGACCCCTGCAACTTTCCCCGGCGGGGGCTCGGGAGGTATGTGCTCGGCGAAAGAAGAGGCAAAAAACATTACTTTCTATATATATACATATATATGTATGTGTGTGTATAAATATGTGCACATATATACACATATATATGAGTACATATATATATAAATGTGCATATATATATATATATATATATAAATGCATATATATAAAAATATAATTACACACATATAAATATGTGTGTGAGCATACACATATGTATTCCGGCGGATACAGTCCGTCCCCGCACGGCACGGCGGTGCCCCCCCGGCAGATCCGCGCTGCGGAGACCCCGCCGCCCCCCGCCCCGGGCAGGTGGGGGGCCGCGGGGGTACCGGGGCCGTGCCCGGGTGGTCGGTGTGTGCCCGCGCTGCGCCGCTCCGCACTCACCCAGAAAACGAAGGAGTAGATGATGAGGAGAGTTTTCAGACACGTTATCACGGGTTTGGTCTCCATTCTCCTCGATGCCATAATACTGAGATCCCGGCTGCAGGCTGGGCGCGGGAGGAGGCGGAGGAGGAGGGAGGGGAGGGGGAGGGAGGAGAGAGCTGGAGGGGGGTGGAGGGAGGTGAGCTCAGCTCAGCGCCAGGCTCGCCCTGCTCGCCGCGGCCCGGGCTCACCGCGCCTCCTGCTGCCGCCCGGGGACCCCCGCCCCGGGCTGCCGAGCGGCGGGGGCTGAAATATCACCTGCCGGGGGGTGGCCGCAGGGCACAGGGATCTGCCTCCGGGGTGTAATTTACTGGAATATCTCGGGTGAGGCGGGGGGAGGGCGGCTGAAGGTTTTGAAAGATGAAGTGAAAGAACCCCCCCGGCCTCCCCCTTTTCTCGGGAAGGTGCTCAGAAGCGTTGCTTGGGGTTCTTAGGGGCTTGGGGAGGGGGGCTGTGGATGGTCGAAGCTGGAGAGGGAATTGCCCGTACGGGAGAAAATATCTTTTGGTGTCACAATTAAAATGTGTGTTTGTGTGCAAGCTGCAAGAATCTGGAGACCAGAACAAGGGCGTGTAGGACAGGTTTGACAGTGCTCTGGTTACAGCCACATAGTCTGGGTGAGCCAGGCTGTGTAAGAGCAAGAGCTCTGCACCGAAGCCATTTGAGGGGCCAGGGCTCCTCCAGCCCTGCGCCTGTGACGTGCCTCTTTGCAGCTCCAGTGCAGGTGATTGCATTGAGACAGTAGGATCTATGATCTATGAATGAGCAGGTTGTGAAGCTCAGATGCTTCTGAAGCCTGGTCCCTAACCTTGGCTTCTCCTCAACCTCAAATCTCAACTCTACCCTAAAAAGACATTGAACCCCAACCTAAAATGATCAGAAACCTTGCCTTTGAGACCCCGAGCTTCAGCTGAAACAGACCTGGCTCAACTCTGCCTAGAGTGAGAGTACATCCCAGAGAGAGAACAGATCTCTGGAGAGAGACGGCTTCTCCTTATTGTCCCTACAGCCACCAGCCCACTGTGAAATCCAGCAAGGGGTGGACAGCAGAGAAATAACTGCATTAGTCTGGGAATGGAAAGGGACCTGATGCTGCAGAGCCCCTGCTGCAGCAAAACAGTGGTGTGGGACTCACTGGCCTCCTCTGGGTAGAGATAAAAAAGGCTTGTGGGGTGGCTGCCTTCAGGAAAACTATGGTGAGAATGAGGGCACACATGTGCCTTGGCAGCCCGAACTCCTGCGCCAAGACCATGGGCAGGCGCAGAGGGAATGACTTCAGGTTTCCTTTTCTGTAGTCCACATTTTGGAGGAGGGTAATGTGTGCATAGCATAGCATGTCCCTCCTGAATGGTGTGCCTGCACACCCCACAAAGCAGGGCTCCAAACTGTACCTTTTACTGCATTAAAATCAAAACAAGGTCAATGCTAAGCAGCGTATTTCCTCAAGCTACAAAAGCCGTGTAGTTTGCGCATCTGAGAAAATCAAAGTGATAAACCAGTCTTTGCTGCTCAAGGGACAGTGTTCAAAATAATATAGAGGAAAAAAATGGTTCCTGAGCAAGTGCTTTTGTAATATGCAGAAGTTTTGACATGAAAACTGCTGCAAGATTTTGCTTGGTTTGACTTATGTCTTTAAGGCTTGGTTAGCCTACTATTTCCCAAAACAATGAAGGCATCTAAAAGACGCTTGGGGGGGGAGTATTCTGCAGGAGATACTGGGGGTTTTAAGCAATCACTGTTTTTGTGGAAAATTCAGATGACAGGTGCATAAATCTTTATTGACTTGGCCATTAAAATGTAAATAAGTGCAGTAACTGCAAAAAATTATATTGACAGTAACAACAGTCATAAATATTCACTGTACAAAAATTATACTAAGATTTTTTTGACAGAAAATAGCTAAGCAAGAGCAGGAGACTTCTCTCCCTTCCCCTCACACATGGGCTGTAGAAA